TTGATTTTAGCCAAAAGCAGGTGAGGCACATTGCTGCAATTGGAGTATCTTTTAATGCCTCTCCCTTTCCTATTACTAGAAAGCTGGGAGCTTGAACATGGTCAAAGGGTTTGTGTTCCATCATCAGGCTGTATTAATGTGGTAATCAATTAATGCACATGATGTTTATGACTGGTTGCACAGTAAAATTCCCACCTTGTCCATTTTTAAACATAGTCAAATATCAAAAATATTTGGGTTTTTATAAATTGGCCAGCCCTTTGAAGAGAATATGCAAGCAGTTTTTGCGTATATGTTTTGATACTTGTCATATGAAATAGAAATCTTTGTCTGCAGTATTCATCCTTACAGAAAAGTGGGTTCAGAAAGTAGAATTGATATCAGCTTTATTTATGCACACTTGATTTTCCCTATTTGTCTTCTCTGTACTTTCTTCTGTATCAGGGACGTACTGTGGGGTTGCTGTATTTCATTGTTAACAACTCTGCCTCGTATACTGAGGCTGATGCTGCAGAGTCTTCAAGTGACCAGAGTCTCTCGGGAAGAATTGCCTGTTCTTGCACAGCTCCTCCGGTTGCTAATGCAACATGGACAGCTGCGAAGTCATATGGTGACCAACGAGCTTCTGGTGAAACAGATTGTCAAAGAGATCATGGTAAGAGGAAATTCTGTCACTGGCTACTTGAGCTGAACGTCAGTCTTACTGAAATATGATTGATGCACATGCATTCTTTGAGGGACAATGTTAATTCTCCAGTTCTTCCCCTGGTGATCCTTTACACTGTAAAGACACCGCTGTTGTTGCAGGATTGAGTACATGCTGTTTTTTGCCGCCAGTGTTTGCTAGTGGCAAAGAGGCAGTGTGGTGCATGTCCAGCCCTTGGTCACTCTTGCTTTGGAGTGAAGATGTGGGAAGGGATGGAGGTTTATTTGTTTTTAAGACATGATTTGCATTCCTTGTATAAATGGAAAGGAGACTTTATAAGAACCTCATCCAGATTAAAGCCTTCTCTTGTTCTGGAGTTCCATGTCTTCATATGCAAGATGTGCAGGGAGCAATATAGTGGCATGAAAAGACACTTGAATGACTTCATTAAATGTTGCATGTGGACATGTCTCTGTAAAATTGTTATTGTGAGAAGCTGGTTTGAAGAAATGGTGGATTGTTATTTATTCTATAACAGGGACATTGGTATAATGTAAAAAAGGATTTTTTTCCAAGCATTGCACTTTCTAGAGACAAAAACAGGGTACAACTTAAGTTTAAGGTATAGGCCTTTTTTCTTGTATTCCAGTATAGCCCCTTTCTTGGTATCCTGCAACAGCAGGGGGTTGGACCCAATGGCCTTCATGGCCCCTTCCATTTCTATTATTCTATGATTCTGAACTTTAGAGAGAAACTGGGTATCTCACAACTTTATATATTGAGTTATTACAAAGCCAGTCCATAGAACATCTTGTTTTTGTACGACATCAGTAATTCATTTATTTTAAAATCAAACTTAACTTTTTTAGAACTTGACATTTAATAGCAACTAAGCAACAGCAAATCTTTACACTTGTTACAAAGCGTGGATTATAATCTATGTTTAGGGATAAATATAAGATCTTGAATTAGAGTTGGAATCAAACTTTTAACACACACATGCTTTATGGAGACCTGTTAGGCTGCCATGGCATCCAATCTTGCCAAACTCACAGGTAAATATGAGCCCAAATTTAACCTTTTCCAGTATAACTGACTTCAATGGCAGGAATAGAGACAATTCTGAGACATCTAGTCGCCACTAATATACACTCGTTCTGTGAATGCATCTCCATTGTTTGCAGTGATCCAGAAAAAACAGTATTGCTGTTAGTTTGCTAAATATGGTTGCTATTAAGTATCAAATGATCCTATTTCTTGGTATACAATAGAAAATTGTTTGTAAACCTGAAATATACATTTTGTGTGCACATATTATATACATATTTGGAAAATGCATTAAAATAATCAGAAAGCCATAATTAAACGTACCCCTTTCAGCCTACTATGCTTGTACCCACTGGGTCTGCCTTAAGTATCTGTACTGTTTTTATATTTCAAGACAGAGGAATAGTATGTTTTGCAACAGTCAAGTTGTGATTGAGAGCATAGACACAGCAAATGTTTCCTTTCTCAACAGTAGTGTAAGACAGATTGTGTTTGATAATTCCAAGCAATGATTGTTTTCTGATCCATAGACATTGAAGAGTGGTGAAGCTCAAGAGCAATGGCTGACAGACCTCCATTACTATTTCAACATATACCTAGCCACACATCCCTCAGGATCTGGGACAGCCAACACATTATATTAAAGAGAACAGTTACATTTGGTTGAAAATATTTTGTTTTCTTGAGTGTGAATGCAAAATATCAATTTTCTGTTGAAATTAAAGTACATTTCTTAAAAGCTGTGTTTGTTTTATATAAAAAGCTACTTCTCTTGCAGTGGTGCAGAAATACAAAACAACTGATACTGAAGATTAAACAATGTGGTGAGAAAAAATGGGGGAAGATACTAGTTCTCTACAGCAATGAATTTATTTAAAAAATTTACTGCCCCAAAACAAACTTACAGAACAGTAAAGATTCCTGAGTCTTCTGCTAATGCCATTGTCAGAAGAGAATGGAGGAGGTTCTCATCCCTTGAGGGCATGCTCAGTAGATTTTAAAAGCCCTCTATAGGAAAAGAGGGTAGTGCTTTAGAATGTTCCTCAGGGTTGCTTTGCACAGAGACCTGTACAGAGATGGTGAAGCAAGCAGTAACGGCATCTGAAATCCAAAAAAGCACTTAAGTCTTTATAACTCCCATTGTCTGTGATGCCTGTTGATTAAAAATAGATAAAGCCAGCGCTTGAGCTGAATACTCACCTACAGTTTCTGTGCTCAGCTTCCACTATGATGTGTCAAAGTAGACAATGTGGAGTCGCCATAACATTCTATAGTAGCAGAACTGGGATACCTAGCTGTTATTTTGGTGCACTGCTGCTGTGTTGGGCTAGACAAAGCAGTAGGTTGCCAGGTGAAGGCAACTTCACTGGTTAGTACAAACCTACTGACTTAACACATGTGGACAGGTGTCTTAAGTGCAATTGCTTCAAACTTGTTCGTCTCAAAAATTTCTCAACCAGCCTGCGGTGAAATATCCCCTTTTGATGTAGAGTATTTCTGAAGGCTTTAAAAAAAAAAAGTGATTGTATTCAGGCTGTGCGCAAATTGGTCACGTGGTTACAAAGAGCATTCTAGTTGTTGCCAGTAAACTATTTCCAAAATTGTACAGTTTAATGGGCTTTCATTGCAATTTTGGCTGGATATAAAAGTTTCAGTATCTTACGAGTATTTTATAATCATGGAAGTGAATACACTGATAAATAGTATTAAAAATAACGTCAAAATGTCCATAAAATAGGTTCTGCTCTTCTGCTATAGCTCAGTCTTGTTTTCATGCCTTAACTTGGTGTGCTTTGTTTTAACAGTTGTGGTTGGTTTCATATTGTATGAAAAATGTTTAAATTTCCCTGTGCTGTCCAGAAGGCAAAGGTACTGCAAGCCACTTGCTACAGAGAGAGCGAGAGAGACAAGTTAGCATATTTGGCCATGAGGAGTCACTAAATTTTCTTTCCGCCTTATAAACCCATGTTCAGCACCAAAGCCACTTAAAATTTTGCCTCATCCCTATAAAAATTATTAGATGAGTAGTCTGAAGTATTGGTAATACATTAGGGAATATCATTAAGAGTAGATGAAGGGCTTTGGGCATGTCCTAGTCAAGATTAAATGTATTTAAAATGCTGCCCTTCAATACAAATTCCAAGGTGGCATAATGCTAGGGTGACATTTATCACAATTCCTAAAGACTTAATCATACTTTGCCTAATATTGCAAAAGAGCCAGGCAGGAATCTATTCATAACCAAGCAAATTTCAGAGTATGGCTGCAGCTCAAGCTACTTGAAGTATGGTTATGCTACCCTTTCTCAATCTCATTCTTTCATGGTTTGGACTATAATTTCCAGCATGCCTACTTGCCTATGTAGAATGTTTCATTAGTGAATCAGTTTGGAAAAATGAAAATTTTATTTGGCAATATACCTCTCTGAAGATTTACAGTGTAGCTCACTTCCACTTTCTCCATGGCTGGAAAACCATCTCCCTCATTGTGTAATCTAAGATTGTGTTGGTGCTTTGCAAGGGATTAACAAAGTGATCCAGATAAACGAATGTCATGTTTCCCTTTCTTGGGCATAAATATCTCTTCTTTCAATGAATACTCAGGTGCTCAATACAAATAGCCAGCTGTGACCAGGTGAGGAAAGTAGCTATACAAAGCAAGTTCAGCTGTGCCAGATGACATCACAAACTGCATAAGCACAAAACAAAAGTCCATTGTGTTTTTACTATGTAGAATACGTCCTAGTTTAGACTGCTTGCACCTGAGTTTTCAAATACACCCCTACCTGTACCAACACCTCAAAACTATTTCTCTGCTTTTTAACTTCTCTTTTGCCTGTTTTGGTGAAACAATGGTCTTGTGAATTCTTTCTTCTCCCAACATAAAATGTTGCAACTGTATGGTGCAACATTATATCATGGCATTATGCTTCCCTGCCACCACTTCACTGGGACCAAAGTTACCCGAAATACGGTGGCATAGGGTAGAGCCTTCTGGGCAGGAGTGGAAGAAGCAACAGCATTCTCGGCAGTATGAAATGACTGCAGGAAATTCCTGTAGTCAGGATAGCACTACCCTGTTTCCCCAAAAATAGGACTTAACTGGAAAAATAAGCCCTAGCATGATTTTTCAGGATGTTCATAATATAAGCCGTACCCCCAAAACAAGCTCCAGTTAAGATCGTCAGCCAGACACATTTAGTACGTCTGTTGCAACACAATTCACGGTTTGAAGAGTTATGATGATGTTCCAGAAGAAGATGACATGACTGAGTAAATGTAGATTTTTGTACATGAATAAATGTAGTACAGGAAAAAAGACATCACCTGAAAATAATCCCTAATGCATCTTTTGGAGCAAAAATTAATATAAGACCTGGTCTTATTTTTGGGCAAACATGGTAAATGTAAATCTGCACCTGTTAATAGTTTTATCAGGGTTGGTAAACAGTTTTGTTCCTGTAAACATCTCAGGAAAAGCATGGAGGATTGAATATGAGGTGAGGATAAAAAATGCTAGTTGTATTCTTCAGAACTGAAGAAAAATGCATGGCTGCCTAAGGAGAGGGCTGTATGACCATTAAGTCTCATGGCTAGTGTGTTGGGCTGGGGATCTGGAAAAGTTGGGTGATTTTGGGGCAGCCTAACCTACCTCATAGGGTTATTATTAGAGGATAAAAATGGATCCATGTTTGCTACTTTGGGTTTCTCACAAGAGGACCAAAGCAGGATATAAATGCACACCAGGTACAGCATGTGTTTTGCAGACTTTCATTGTGCAGAAAAATGGACTGCTTGCATTCTAGGTACTAGACAAAATTGAAGGGTTCTTGCCTTTATGTCCTGCTTGTTTCCAACAGTGGCCAGCTAAATGACTGATTTATTCATCCAGCTTGTTCCATGACACACGGTGTTCTGGCCGCTGCCATTTGTTGACACCATGAAAAAACACATAACATGCAGTCCTGTCTACAGTATTAACTTATTCTTCCATGCACAGTACTCTTACATAATGCCAAGAAGTGATAAACCAATCTTTCAATTTTTCTACTATTTACATTGCTTGCCATATCTTCTGATAACATCTTAGAAGATTAATAAATAATATTGTCAGATGATCCATCACTATACATTCCTTTACAATACTTATAGACATCTACTCAGAAGTAAGCTTTATTGAAATTAATGCTACTTACTGCCACACAAGTGTATAGGACTGCTGCCTACAATATATATAACCTGGGTTGAAATCAGATTTTGTCAGAGAGGAACCAGTGAAACCAATGGATGTTAAATTAGGATTTAATTAAATCCAATTTATTTGAATGCATCTACTCTACTTACTTATGACTAAATTTTAATCCAGCCCCCTTGGAATTATTTATTATATTTTTATCTTACCTTTTACCTTCCAGGAACTCAAGGAGACTGACATAATTCCCTTCTTCTTCCCAATCTTATCCCCACAACACCCCTGTGAGGTAGGTTAGGCTGGGTGGGAGTGACTGGCATAGAGTCACTCAGTGAGCTTTGTGGCTGAGTATGGACTAGAACCCAGATTTCCATCATTCTAACCACGACACTACAGTGGTCATTCTCACACCCTGATTTATAGATGCATGCAGTTTTCCAAAAAAAAAAAAAAAATGCATGTGTAAAATAAAGGACAGTATTTGGTACTATTGTTCTGCTCCCACACACACTGTTGAACAAATGGGTCTTCAGTATGCTTCTCCTGGGAATGCCACACAGTTAAATGAGTTTTAGGTGCCTAGTTAAAAATCTATTCAGGTGTTTAAAGTGCTAGATTAAGTACAGTAAAGATGTCTTTGATTTATGGTGACCCCATGAATGAATGCCCTTCCAAGTGTCCTGTCCTTGATAGCCACAATCAACTCTTGTTAATGTTTTTAAAGTTATTCCTTTTCAATGTAATGCTTTCTAATTTTTTCTTAAGTTTGTTTTTATATTATTCAAGATCATGTTTAAATGTCATTTTAATTAACTTTCTGTAAACCTTTCAATTTTTCAAGTATAAGGCAGAATATATTTTAAGAACATGTTAAAAATATAAGGGAGGTGATTATCAATTGGGCACTGAAAGAATAATATTGTTGATTTGAGTCTGAAAGGGCTGCAAACTTGCTAAACTGTTCCTGAAATGATCAAATAACCTAATACAATCTTAAGTCCTATATGAAGACTGAGAAGAAGGAACCAGACCTATATTCTGGTACCATGACTTGAGATCACCTAACTAACATCTTCAAGGTGCAGGCTTAGAGCATTTTATGAAAGTAGCATCTCTTGGGCTTTTGTACTTTTGTCCTGTTTTCTGCAAAGTTGCAGAAAAAGAACAAGCGGTTTGGGTCAAGGCCTCACACTTGTTCTTGAGGAGAACCAAGAACAGCAGCACTCAAACCCCAAAGACCATGATGAGCAGCTTCCCCTGTAATGATAAAGAGATGGAAAATGTCCTCAGCTGAGTCTCTTAGTTTGGAGGAAGCCATGATAATATTATGAACAATAGTTTAGAGATGACCTTGGGATTAATGGAGATACTCAAGCAAGGTAAGTTCATTTGCTAAACAGATAAGATCCTGTGAGTATACTTTGAAGGAAATATTCAAGGACACAAGACACTTTCCTGGAACAAACAATGGGGGTAACACATGAAGTAATTGACACAAGCACCCAGTCCTCTGGAAAGACAGCCCAGTCTAGCACAGTGGACCACAATAGTATCTAAAAGTTGACACAACCAATGATCTTTCTCTTAGGCTTTTTTATTTTTTTGACCATGGCTTTACCTTTGCTTCTTCACCTCTGATCTTTGCTGGACCATCAGACCCAGGCATCTGGGTAAGTGCACCTCTCTTTGACACTTAGGCTTAGTTAACCTTTCTTGTATTTTGTTAGTTTTAACCATTTATTTTCTAAAAGTAGGACTTTATTTTCTTACTTTAGGGCTTTAGTCTAATTGTTGAGGTTCATAAATAGAATCCTTCCAAACTTAGAGTTATCTTGAGTTCAAAGTTGGTTAACCCTCCAGGGTTTTAGGATTTAAGTTGGTGTGGTGGGCAGGGGAGTGGGGGGATGAGTCTGTGGCTGACAGCTTACGAAGATTCTTATCAACACCGCAGTCTCCTCAGCTGTTGTTAAGCTGACACATACATTTAACTTCTGGCAAAAGTATTCAGTTGGCAAAGCTGGTGATCTAAAAGTAAAATGGCTCTTTGGACCCCTGGCCTAGTTGATGACTGTTCCCTCAACATTTTCCTGTGCTCACTTGCATTTCATAAACTAAATCACACCAAGTAACGTAAAGAATTTCTAAAGCACAATCTTATGCATGTTCAGAAAGGAAAAAAGTTCAACAACACCCAGCATAATTTTTCTCTGTCTAAGTATGCCTAGAATTGTGTCTTAAGTTTCTCTAGGCCAGGGGTCCTCAAACATTTTGAATAGCAATTCCAAGACGATATCCCCCTTGCTCACAGAAAAGGATCTCCTGGCAAGGTGCTGGGTTGCTCGCAAGGAGATCCTTTTCTACAAGTGAGTCCAAAATGATCTTGCAAGCAAGCTGGCACCTCGCCACACGCACACGCATGGCGAGCTATGGCAGGCTGGATCAATGGGCATGGCGTAGTTTGAGGACCCATGCTCTAGGCTATGAATGTTCAAAGTTGGCATTTAAATAGTTAAATATAGGGGGTGTACAACAACAGATCCATGTCTATCATCTAAAGTTAGCTTAAAAGTTCCAGAGTAATAAGAGGCTAATTTATGAGCCAGCACTAAGAATTATTTAAATCCTACGACTCTACACGTGGACGTTACCAGACGATCAACACAGAAATCAGATTGAGTATGTGCTCTGCAGCCAAAGATGGAGAAGCTGTGTACAGTCAGTAAAAACAAGACCAGGAGCTGACTGTGGCTCAGATCATGAGCTTCTTGTTGCAAAATTTAGGCTTAAATTGAAGAAAGTAGGGAAAAGCACTAGGCCACTCAGGTATGACCTAAATCATATCCCTGATGAATATACAGTAGAGGTGACAAATAGATTTAAGGAATTAGATCTGATAGACAGAGTGCCTGAAGAACTATGGATGGAGGTTTGCAACATTGTACAAGCGGTAGCAACTAAAACCATCCCAAAGAAAAAGAAATGCAAGAAAGCAAAATTGCTGTCTGAGGAAGCTTTACAAATAGCTGAGGAAAGAAGGGAAGCAAAAGGCAAGGAGAAGGAGAAAGATACACCCAATTGAATGCAGAATTCCAGAGAATAGCTAGAAGAGGTAAGAATGCCTTCTTGAATTAACAGTGCAAAGAAATAGAAGAAAACAGTAGAATAGGGAGGACCAGAGATCTCTTCAAGAAAATTGGAGATATGAAGGGAACGTTTCATGCAAAGATGGGCATGATAAAGGACCAAAATGGCAGGAACCTAACAGAGGCAGAAGAGATTAAAAAGAGGTGGCAAGATTACACAGAAGAACTATACAAGAAAGGGCTTAACATCCCTGATAACCACGATGGGGTGATCAACTGACTTCGAGCCAGACATCCTGGAATGTGAAGTCAAATGGGCCTTAGGAAGCCTGAGCAACAACAAAGCTAGTGGAGGTGACAGTATTCCAGCTGAGCTATTCAAAATCTTAAAAGACAATGCAGTAAAAGTGCTACACTCAATATGCCAGCAAATTTGGAAAACTCAACAGTGGCCACCAGATTGGAAAACGTCCGTTCACATTCTGATCCCAAAGAAGGGCAATGCCAAAGAATGTTCAAACTACCGCACCATTGCACTCATTTCACATGCTAGCAAAGTTATGCTCAAAATCCAACCAGCTAGGCTCTAGCAGTATGTGTTAACCGAGAACTACCAGAAGTACAGGCAGGATTTCGAAGAGGGAGAGGGACTAGAGATCAAATTGCCAACATATGCTGGATCATGGAGAAAGCTAGGGAGTTCCAGAAAAACATCTACTTCTGCTTCATTGACTATGCTAAAGCCTTTGATTGTGTGGATCACAACAAATTGTGGCAAGTTCTTGAAGAGATGGGAGTCCCAGACCATCTTATTTGTCTCTTGAGAAACCTGTATGCGGGTCAAGAAGCATCAGTGAGAATTGGGCACGGAACCACTGACTGGTTCAAAATTGAGAAAGGAGTTTGGCAAGGCTGTATACTGTCGCCCTACCTATTTAACTTGTATGCAGAGCACATCGTGAGAAAGGTGGGGCTAGATGAATCACCAGTTGGAATTAAGATTGCTGGGAGAAATATCAACAACCTCAGATATGCAGATGATACCACTCTCATGGCAGAAAGTGAAGAGGAACTAAAGAGCCTCTTGATGCGGGTGAAGGAGGAGAACACAAAAGTTCGCTTGAAACTCAACATTAAGAAAACTAAGATCATGGCATCCAGTCCTCTCACTTCCTGGAAAATAGATGGGGAAGAAATGGAGGTAGTGACAGAATTTATTTTCCTGGGCTCCAAGATCACCGCAGACAGGGACTCCAGCCAAGAAGTTAAAAGACGCTTTTTCCTGAGGAGGAAAGCTATGGCAAATCTAGACAGCATACTAAAAAGCAGAGACATCACCCTAATCACCCTAATGCTGGAACAATAGATGGCAAAAGAACAAGGGGACGTCAGATAATGAGGTGACTAGATGGAGTCACTGAAGCAGTTGGTGTGAGCTGGGGTGGACTCCAGGGGATGGTGGAGGACAGGAAGGCCTGGAGGAATGTTGTCCATGGGGTCGCGATGGGTTGGACACGACTACGCGACTAACAACAACAAGGCAAGGATCTTAAGGTATACAAATTCTTAAATCTGAGCGTTTCCCCTCCACTTCAAGGCCCCATTGCATCCTCGGAGGGGCAGGCAGCATAGTTCTTTCTGTACTTGCCTGCAAGGGATGGGTCAGGGGCTCAGTCTGCGGTCTCAGCACCAAAACCACAGGACCTCCACATAGTCCTATGGCCCCCAGATAAGAGCAGGAGGACCCTGGGTTGCATCTTAAATTACAGAGCTGTTTAACACCTTACTGAAATCATTGTTTCATGTAACCACCATGCCAACTGCTGAATTTTGTATGAAAAATAAATAAAGCATTTCATGCATTCCAGCCAAATGCTGAGTCTGTGGTGATGTTTGCGTCTCTATTTAGACCTGCCTTTGTTACCTGCTAGGGTGCTTCATACCCAACTGGTCTGGATCCTAAAACAGATACAGTTTTGGAGGAGTTTAGTTCTCATCATTAAGACTTGTTTAATGCTGGCAGACTATGTAGGTTCAAATTATCACTAATAATTTGCATGGAAGATTTAAATCTATTTCTTTGTATAGAATGCTACTGCCTGGGCAAGAGCAAGTAGGCACTTCCACCACCCACTGTCCTCTTTTTTCCCTTTGTTACAAAATGTACTGGTACCTTGGCTCACGAACTTAATCTGTTCCATGACTCTGGTTGTGACCCAAATTGGTTGTGACCCAAGTCAAATTTCCCCATAAGGTTCAATGTAAATAAGGTTAATCCGTTCTGTAACTATTTTTTTTCAGAAATTTTGAAACAAAGTGACAAAGAACAACAAAGTACTGTACAGTACAGTGGAGAACACTAACCTAGGTGGGGGGGGGGTGATTGTTTTGAGGGAGAGTCCCCCTCCATAAGGACACTGGGGAGATCTCTTTCAGGGGTTTCCTCTCTTTGTCTCTTAGCTGCAGGTTCAATTTTGGTGAAAAATCTGTCTATAGTCACTTGTTTTTTCCCGCGCTGCATAACCCTCCGGAAATGAGAGACCACGTTATTGTTCATCAGATTCAACACTCTGTTTGTTACATTTATGTTGGGGTGGTGCTTCTCAAAGAAACCCTGGCATGGGCATGCTCCTGCAGGAAAGATGGGCGTAATCTCAGCCATCTCCCCCACCCCCAACCAACAAGATCACGACCATCTCCCCACCCCTCCTGGTCATGCGTGGTCACGGGTGCGCTCCTGCAGGAAAGACGGGCGCAGCACAGCACAGCCGTGATCATGCATGTGTTCCCTGCACGAACGCGACTGCAATCGTGGCCATTTCCCCACTCGAGTGGGTGGGGAGATGGCTACGATCTTGGTTGCCACCCAAAGCAGATTTTGTTACCCAATTCAAAATTTTCATGAAATTTTTGTTCATGACCCAAGGTACCACTGTATGCATTTACCTTATTCAGGAAAGTACTTATATTTTTCATGCCTTGTGGGTGAAGGTGTGGCGAAGGGTGATTCAATGCAATGGTATTTTCTGGCATCAATGGAATTACTGTGAATGTATATCCTCTGACTTTCACACAGACCTTTAATTAATGGCATGATGTGAAATCTCCAGCTATTACTTGAGTGATCCATCTGTGCTGATCCATCCAGGCAGACAACTATTTGTGGCACGCCATGTGGTACCATCATGTTATCACTCATGCCATTGCACTTAGTGATGTCATAATGGTACAGATGTCATGTGGAGCCAGTGCTAGATGACCTCATCCTCTCTTTCTGACCTCCTTATGAACAGTTAGGTATTGAGGCATTTAGTGGATCCTTAACCTATGACAATAATTCAGTTTTTACAAGTTTTTGGAAACCGTTTGAAAAAGCTTTTCCATAAACTTTTGATTCCTCTATCCATGATACATAAATTATCTCTGCCAAATGCTGGGCAGGAAAAAAGGTAGATGGAAAGTGTGAGCTGAGAGAGGTGAGGTCTGATTGCTGATACAAGTGTGTGTGTGCAGTTGAAAGGGAACTGAGGGACCAGGTAGGAGCACCCTCCTCTTATCAGGACTTCTGGGTGGGGCTCCCACCCACTACATGTTGCTGAGCTGTGGAAGTTTTTCTCTGATTTATGCCTTGGTCTGTGCACAAAGCTCATATATATGATTGCACAGAGACCACAAAGAAGAATTAGTTACAGGTAAGCAACCTGCCTTTTTCACACCCAAACAAGGCAGCTTTAATTTTAAAATGCTTCTGAATGGTATCAAAACCAAGTCCTCTGAGGGACTGAAAGAATGAGGTATAATTAGACTGAAGATTGACGGGAGATCTGAGAGTACCCTTCAAACATCCGAAAGGCTCTCATGCATTTGATGGAGCGTGGCTGTTCTCTGGTGCTCTCTGGCTAGCCAAGAACCAAAAGGGGCAATTGAAAGGAAGCCGATTTCAGCCAAACATCAGGAGAAACTTCCTAAAGTGAGAGGTGCTTGACAGTGCAACAGACTGACTTGAGGCATGGTGAGTTCTCCTTCACTGCTAGGCTAGGCAGCTGTCTGTCAGAGACTGCACTGCTGAGCTTGCATGGAGACATGGATGGGTTGGGCTTGATAAGTTTTTTCTCCCAGCCCTGATTCTATGAAAAGTGAAATGTAACATTTTTCAGGACTCTCTCTGAAAAATTAAATATAATATTTAAAAGCTATGCTTAAAAATTGTCCTAAAATAAACCGGTCACAAATACCAAAAAGCTTAGTTAACCCCAATATTCTGAGAATCACTAAACAAAGCTCATTGGTATGCTCTGTGTTGCAGTTCTTAGCAAAATATTTGTCACATTCATGCTGGAAATCATTTTCTCTGTGACTATTGGTTGACTTCCACCAAGAGAATTTTAAATGCACTGGCAATGACTTTATCAGCATGTATGCAAGTTTTTCTTGCACATGGAATTATTACCCCATATGCCAATTTAATCAAAAGAAATGACAAGTGTATTATAAGATTAACATGGAATGTGCTAATTTTGCATCACAGATTATATGAGTTTAAATTTAAAATGAAACGAGTGTTACTCTTTACACACCCATGTACAGCAGACCATTAAGAAATATTTGTGCATTTCCAAAATGCTACCATTCAGTTAACACACTATTTTCCCTCATGGAGTAATATTTCCCAATTTTTACAGTGTAATTCAACACTGTGCAAACTGGTTTTTTTTAAAAAGCTACATAAGGGAAAACTAAAAATCTGTAATAGACTAATACCCTCATCAGGGCCAGCTAAATCATTACAAAATAGTAAGCAAGCTCCCAAGAAAATTGAGAAAAGAAATGCATTGTGAACTGAAAGTCCATAACTAAATAGCCTATTTTAGTGTAATTTTCATACAGTTTTACAAAACAGCCAAGCCAGTGGTATGCTGCATTTACTCTTAATTCTTAAAATCAGTATCTCCAATAGGCTTTATGACAGACTTAGAAGATTAAAAAATGGAAGTTGGGAACTCCTGCAATTTGCCTTGTAGTTTCCATTATTTTAGTGGTCAGTGTTCCCTGGACCTCAGGCTACAGTATGTTTTAAAACACTGAGAATGGGTAATATGGCAAAGAGCACTGAAAAAGCTGTTATGTATGGCTAATCTCTTCTCATCATTTAACAAATAGGTCTGATTAACACAGCGAGGAAATTACATTAGTCTGATTTTGTTTCTAGCCTAAGATATACTATTTTAATTAAGGCTCCACCAGATATTCACCTATTTTGATTTAGGGGGCCAACAAAGATGTTTCTGAAAGGTCTGAAATGTCCCTTGAGATTCCACTCATCCAACCTTGTATGACAATTTTGTCACCTTTCGTAATGTCTCTCAGGACTCCCTTTTGGTTGTATTTTGCCCCAGCCCTAATTTCACGTCTAAGGATACCTTATTGCACACTTCAGAACTGTACCTGCTAGCGTCTGCAATTCACAGACTTTGTAATTTGAAGAAGGAGGTCTCACTGGATGATACACTCTTCCCTCTTGAGAGCGTCCTTTAAAACAAGTTTTTAAAAAGCATGTATAATTAGACATGCTTGCATTGTACATCAATCATTCGCTGTAGCTGTACTATTTGAACAGTCAAAATGCAAAGAGCACCTAACATAATTATGCATAGTATAAATAAAAATAATTAGAATAATGTTTTGTTGCCACCCTTGCACCTAGGCCAGCATCTGAAGTGGCTTATTGCTTGTTTTTCAAGTATGCAAAGTCACTGTACATGCAGAAGTATATGTATTTTTTCCTTTTCTTAGCTGCCAATTCATTTGCTGTATTTACTGACTGAAGTGTATTCCGTTTTCAAAATGGCTTGAGATCTGTATCACTGAAACATAAATAATGTTTATGTCATTAAAAAAAGAATTCTTCCAAAATGTATCAGGAAGAATCTTTGAGGCTGAAAACTAAGGCACAGAAACAAAAGAGGAAAGGAAAAGGTATCAACCTTTTCCCTCTCTCACAGTTGGAGAGCAAAACCAGGAATTCTTAATGAACAATTCATGTGAACAGACAAACTCTTCTAAGAGTAGAATAAAAGGGTGAAAGAAAGTCACTAGATGCTTAGAGTCTTATTACACGGAACATATGTCTGAAGGAAATAGCCGTGTTTTCAGTCTATAGCATATTGCAAAACTCAGCTCTACTGCTCTTCTACAGCTGCATGCCCATTTGGAGAAACAGAACACAACATTCTGAACCTGTTGGCTCTAGGTACAGGGTAGAGTAACTGCTCTCCCATGCAAATATGTATGCTACCCAGTACATCTTAATGCAACTAGAGCCACAGCTTCTGGTAATCTGGAACTACCCCATATGCAGCCTTACTACCAGTGCAGGATCTGTTTGGAAGAATGCAGCTCAGTGGCAGGGAACATGCTTCCCTTGTAAAAGGTTGCTAAGTCAGTCCCCAGCAATTCTGTCTAAATGGATCTCAGGTAGTATGGCAGTGAAGACCCTCCACCTGGGGCCTTGTATAGCCACTGCTAGTTAGATGGACAAATGGTCTGACTCAGCACAAGATAGCATCATTTTTCAATTTTTATTTTTTATTCTGCAATACAAAAACAACCAAACCCCAATTAAAAAAAGAAATTAAAAAATGTATTTGAAGAGTATTTAAGAAAAAAAGGGGGATCCATGGTACTTGTTACACTTATATTGTCTGTCTCTATATGTTAATATATAGTAGAATGTGCTATTGTGATTGACAATAATTATGCATATACATTGGCAAAGGCACCCCTATATCCGTATAGTTTTCCTCATGTAGTTGTAAGCTATGCCTAAAAGCCACTTGTTAAAAAAATGAGAGTTGCACCAAATCTTCTGCCTATTGTGTTATTGCAGGAGGGAGGGTGCATTTATCTTTCCAGGGTTGTAATCTTAGTCTTTTAGCTGTCAAGGCACTGTTTGTCAAGTGTCGGTTTTGCTTTGGTTTACTTAATGGTTGTGACACAATAAAAATATTTGGCACCATCACAGCATTCAGTATCTTCTGTGCATTCTGTGACAACAATGCCAATTAAATCCATTTCAGTCCAGGTTGTAACAACAAAATGTGGAAAAGTCAAAGGGGGATAAGGTGCTGCAACAGGCACTGACAAGGTTTTAAAATACACACGCTTCCGAATACCAGTGTGTAAATGCAGAAGAACTGCCTTGCAAAATAAGACCAAATTCCATTCCATTTCCAATAGTGGATATCTACAATGGGTCTGAAAGCTTCAGGTTAAGCATGATGTTGACAGTTGTCCAGAATACTCTGCCCTCATTATAGAGTAAGGGACCCACTGAGTGTGGGTTTTTCATTGTCATGGCCAATACCAATGACACAGCTGTCTAGCTTTTTGTTTTCAAACAGAATAATATTTTGAACAGCAAGACCATAGTGCTTTAGAATATTCAGACCTCTTCAAGTAAATCATAGTACCACCCATCAGTATGAAAAAAACCATTTCCATATCTGGTGGATCTATGATGTTTTAAAAGAATGTTATTAAACAAATCCTTATCTCTCCAAAATAAAGAACCTTCAACATGCATTCTTACCATATATCTGTTTCAGGGTGGACGGCTTTGGAGTGGAGGTCACACCTGAGTTGCTTTTGTTCATGGACTTTGCATTTTTGCTGGAGATAACTGTTTTCAAAGGAGTTTGGTTCAGCCGCTTGTTCCAGGTGACCTCAATGCAAAAGGCAGCCACTTTTTGCCGCCATTTTTCTTCATCTTTCTTGCACAGTTGCTTAACACTAAAAAGCTTAAGGAACTGCTTCTTTAATTGGTAGCTGGAAGGAGAAAAGAAAGAGGAGAGATGCCTGTTTTATGGGATCTCTTTTCAAGTCCATACTGTGAATAACAGGGGAAACATAATTTTGCTTTAATGGGATCATTCTCCTTTGCGGAATTGAATAGTTTCTTCATAAGAGCAAATAAGGCTTACCTTAAATTCTAGATTCATCCATTAATTTGAGATGCCATTATTAAACTACACATGTTACAAACATGGAAAATAGAAATTATATTCACAATACCAGACTGTGGGTCTGGTATTGTACAGTAAATTGCACAATTTTACATTAAGGAACAATTGGTGCAGACAATATTTTCTCCCGATCAGGAGTCCATTTCTTGGTTTTGTTGCAAGGATGTCACTATATGGACAGTGTTAGTAGGGGGACCTTATGTCACTGTATCAACCTAGGAAAACCCATTTGGAAAGGTAGAAGGACATCCAGGCCAGTTTCAACACTAATTCTCAAACCAGGTGGAAAGTGCTAGAAGCAGCAGACAACCCTGTATCTCTTTTGATTTGGAAATAAGGCAGCAGCTGGGGAATGGACATGCAATAAACTTAACTTCTGGTCTGGCAATTTGCATAGATGAATCTGGGTAAAATAGCAGCCTGCTGAAACCCATTTCAGTTGAAAAGATGACTCAACAAAGATGATGCTGGCAGAGAGGCCTTTAGCTGATACTGCTCCCAGCTGGTACATGGGAATGGGAACATCTCAAGGATGTAAACAATTTGGTCCATTTTTAATCATGGACATGATGGTGCTGAACTGGAAGATTGTGAGGCTGTAAGACCTGCTGGTGGTCAGGCACTTTTTGTCCCAGAACAAAACCAAAAGAGACAAAACACAACCCTTTTGAACCGGGGGAGGGGGGCACACTATTCATGGGTTCTGCTAGATGCGACATAATTCTAATGCCTGGCTTAAGTGTCCTTACAGTATTTGCAAGGAAGGAGGATGAGGAGCATTCTGGTCGGGTTGGCACTGCCTGCTCTTTTCTGTCCTACCAGGCCAAACGGTCACCAGCTGCCACTTGAGGGTGCTTCCAGACAGGGCTTTTATGGCGTCACTATGCTGGAAGAGATTAGATGGTGTACTGCCTGGTACCAAATGTGATTTTGCATAGATCACATTTGATGTGGGAGCTTGTCCTTTTGCAGGAACTTTGCCTTTTTGGAAACTTTCATATCAGCAATGCTAAATATACATAATTTGTAAAAAAAAAAAAAACCCTTTATTATAATTTCCTTCAGGAATACTCCTCTCCCATTGCCTACATTCCTATATAAAGGTGACCCTTCTTGTTTTCATTATATTGTAGCTTCCTTGTCTACATCCTCCTTTTTATTTATTTTTTAATCACATGTTCACTGATCCACATCCACATTATTGCTATTTACCATTCTCCTGCTCATTCCTTGCAGTTGTTTATTATTTTGGCTAGTCTGCTCTTAGTACTGCCATTACTAAGAACAATTTCCTCCCCTGAGACTGTGAACTGTCCCAGCATCAGAAACAAGATGCACAAATTCCTCCTGCACATGATAGCTGGAAGTGTGGAAAGGGAGATATTTGAGTCCTGAGCCCTTTGCTAACATGCTGTTTTGACATGTGAAATAGCTAGAGGGTGACAAGAGGGAGATAAACTCAATAGTGTGGCTAACTACTCTGTCATCTTGCCTGTTGCAGGCCTCCTTTAACTGTGCTTCATACACCAACTGCAAAGTTGGCATCATGTCACTCAAAGTATGCCAAAAATGCAAAGTATAACTGCACTAGTATATGCGAGGCTATACCTCATGATTAAATGTTAAATTGTAATTAAAAAGAAATAAACTAGGAAAAAAGAAACAATAAAGTATCCCTACCTTCTCCAAGCTCTCTGAATAATGTATGCAGCACAATTCTTCTTATGGAAGAGTTCTTTTCTTGCCCTTTCCTTCTCTATTATCTGCATCCGGATTTCTAATGGGATAGGCTCAATACCTCTGCACTGATCAAGGTCCAATCGATCCTCCAGATCCCTGGATGACATGAGAACTTGCCTATCCGGTTTTGCATTGCGTCCATGACCACTGTCGACTTCCATTCTGTAGAACATAAGCCTCATAGTCCTCGCATTGTTAGCCAGCAAAGGACAGGCCTTGCTAGCTGCCACCTTGTTGATTTGTGTAGCAGCAGCAGTACTCATACGTGCCACCTGGGCACTGCCAGGCCTGCTGGAACCAGCTGAGGACCATCTCTCATCATTCATCTCTTTGCTTCTTGCTTTTGGCTGCTGTGGGTTGCTTCTCAGGGCCAGTTCATACTGTCTTGAATTCCTTGTGCTTCTATTAGTGCAGTTACTTTTCTGAATGCAAGCTGGTGTTTCTTCAAAATGGTTCATATCATTGTTCATTGGCTGGCTTAGATTTTCAGATTTCTCAACAGAGCTGGCAGCTTTACTGTTGGAATCATGCCTTTTCCTGGCAGGCCTAAAGGTGCCATTTGTTCTTGCAATAGGTTCCTCGTGTTTTTTATCATCCCTGCCTGAGGTAGCAGATAAAACTTGATGTTTTACTTCAACCTGATGCTGAGGCCCATCATTGCTCTTCCTAGAGTGGGAAGGGATACCAGCAGACTTCCTTTTGCTCTTTGCCCTGGATACCTCTAGAGAGACAGAGATAAGAAAAAAAATCTATTTCCTAATAAGAGTTTGTCAGATGGAATTTTTTAAACATACACTGTAGTTACAATATATTAAAAAGCTTAATTGTATTTAAATGGACAGTTTTTAAAATTTAGATAGTCTCATCTCTTCTAGTGGCTTCCTGGAGCACTTTATACACTGATGACACCCAGGTCCACTTCTTTATCCTCAATCTTTCAGCCCTTCATCCTACCACACTTGACCAATTGCTTTTCTTATATTTGTTTGGACTCAAATATTTGTCTCAAATCCAGTAAGTATGAGATCAGCATTCTTATCTTCCTTATCTACTCCTCTTTTCCTTTTCCTTTTTTTTTTTTGGTTAGTCACTGACAGTATCACCATCCATGCTTTTAAAGCAGACACAAAGCACTGGTTTTCACTTCAACTCATCCTTCCCCTTAGCCCCACCCCAATTTAGTCTATTGCCAAATCATGCTGCTTCCCTGTTCACATTATGAATTTGTGGCCCTTCTTTTGGTCCCTTCAGCAACCACATGTCTATGTGCTGGTCATCTCCCACCTCAACTAACATAATCTTCTTTTTCTCCTATATTGCACTGCCTCAACTTCATCTACTTACATCCCATGAGCACTCTGCTGCCCAAAGGATTCAGCTCCCATGCCTTTCTGACTTTGTGATTCTTCTCCTTAAATCCCTTTACTGGTTTCCTTATTTCTCCCCAAAACTCTACAAAATTAAAACCCTAACCCTAGCCCATGGCCTTACCCCCTCATCTCTTCCTGTGACCTTTGCTCATCTATCCCTCAGACATCCAAAGACTTCCTGTTCTAACCATTTTTACTTGCCCTATTATGCCTTAAGCTCTATGTAGATCTCCATTTTTAAACTGAGTTTGAAAATGATCTATTCATGTGCCACTGATCAATTAAATACAGAAATCCTCTTTTTATAGTAGGAAATTGCTTCAGCCATCAGAGTAAGGGAAGGTTACTTGATGCCCTGATGTGACCCAGCCAGTCAACACCTTACTTTAAACTTAAAGCCCCATGTTCTGAGACCTTCATGACACAAGAGCCAGTGTGGTGGTTACAGTGTTAGACTTGAAAGCCAGGAGATCCAGATTCTAGCCCCTGCCTGACCATGAAGCTCACTGGGTAACATTGGGCCAGTCACAGAATCTCAGAATAACCCACCTCATAGGGTTGAGGTTGATAATCCTAGGGACTTAGGTACTAGGAGGTGTCTCTGGAAAGCTAAAATGTAAAACTAAAGAGCTTAAACACGTGCAGCCAAGTGCATAATTGAATGGATTAATCATGTGCACAAGAAATTGTTTTTATAAGAATGTAGGGAAGGCATCAAACTGATCAAACATTACTTATATGTAATAATACCATTCTCATATGATAATAAAAATTACAATTTAATATGTATGTACAAGGCTCCCCTGATGAAAAGTCATTTATATCACCCAAAGCCTCAACAAAGAGTATCCTTTCCAAGACTTAAAATAGAGAAAGCAAATCCATGAATAGGAAGCAGTTCCATAATTATGGGGATATCCGGGCTGACTTTTGCCCTCCCTAGGTATTAAAATAGCCATTTAACATGGGAGGTCTTAGAGGTGTTAGCTACGTGGCAGCGTGATACAGTGGGGAGATCTTGGCCTTCTCTCTGTGGTGCAGAGACTACAGAAAGCCAGGGAATGGTATTTCAGCTACTAACTCTGCTAGGTCGAGTGACAAAATAAGTTCCCAGTTGGTCTTCTAAAGCAGCAGATTTTGGCCTGACTCCCGAGCCTCCGTAATTCACTGTTCATGCAGAGGCGGAACTGCTCTTGCAACTGTCCATCCCTGTTTGCCACAGGGATGGACAGTTGGCCACCAGCCCCAACAAAAGGCAATATGGAGATTACAAACCTGATTTTTGTTTATGATCTTCAAGTAACTCTGTGGAATGGCACTGGTTGTTGGGAGTAACTTTGTTTGGTAAGACAGTGGCTGCATTGTTCTTGCTTTTGTCTCTCTGACTTTGAGACCTGCTGCCAGAAGGAGTCTTTCCACCATGCCGAACAGGGCACTGTGGAGTATGAAGCCTTGTGTGACTCCTCTCTGCCTCTGAAAGTTCCTGATGCTGGGCTTGGGCCCTGTCAGTCTTGCAGTTTTGCTGCTCCTTCTGCAGCTCTGTGGCTTTTCTTCTATTTTCTTCCTCACGTTTCCTGTAATCAATATTTGCAATATTCAAAACCCATAAAAATAATTTGGAGCAAGCATGGCATCTGCTTGTGTATTTGTATTACTCCACTGTACTACCCCAGAGGTTATAAAGAGGAAAAAAAGGAAAGAAAGTATTTCTTACATAACACTTAGATCTCAACTCTAGGATGAAAATTAATGTAGATTCAGCACAGTGATAGCTTCATGTGGAAAATTCAATGTAATATAGTTTAGACTGAAAACTGCAATATAGGGTTGGATCAAAAATAAAGTTATAGTTGGAACAAACTGATCAAAAAGAGTGGGGTTTAGGTTAATTGTGACTAACTTGAGTAGCCTTGATTGCAATGGCAATACTCTAAGAATGAGCAGTGCCACTGGATCCAATTATGGTAGCTACTAATTACATTATTGAAGTATGACAACCCCCCCCCCCCAAAACCCGAATTCAAAAACTAATGGCCTGATCTAGCCAAAGTCAAGTATTCTTACAAGTTTCATTGATTCCAATAGGGAAGTTAAATGACCTCCAATAGCAGGGTTTTACTTTATGCCGTGAGAAAATGAGGCATGCATTCATGGATGGAGGTCAATAAATCAATTGTAGATAAGGAAAGCTAATCCTGGACTAGGATGTTGGAATAGAGAAATGAGAATATATGAACGCAAGAGCTGCATCAGGAACAAAAGACTGCAAGTCCAATGATAAAACATTGTGTGGATTTTGGACACAATGAGAAAGATCAGAAACTTGGAACCTTCAAAAAGTCAATGGATGCATTCATCTGTCATGCTAACCCATGCCTGGAAACAAGACATGGTAGGTTGGTTGTCATGAGAATAACCGCATGGGCTGCCTCCCTTCTTCCCACTCAATACCCTCCCACAGATATCCCAGGGGACAGTGTAGGAGGACCAAGTTGTCTCCCTACTTCTTGCTGTGATCATGAGTAATTTTTACTCACCATAGATTTTTTTCCATTCCTATTTTTCTCCCCCAGAGACCATCAAAGCCATCTTAACAGCTGGCTCCTTTGATCTACTTTTTGATCTCTGAAGAAAAAAGATGAAGGTGAAAAAGCTAAGCCAATTCTAAAACAGTTCATGATTGTGGGGGCAGTGGGGAAACCAGCTGCTCCAAAGTGTTTCTCTTGGGCACTTTGGGGTAGATGACATTGGCAGTTACTTGGGAGCTGCCTGGCAAAAGCAGCAAGGGATTTTTCTTTTCCAAGTAGCTTATTCCTTGTAGTTATGATACAAGGAACATCCATTCGGATGACTCAGCCATCCACTGTGCTTCAACAACCTCTACAAAACCCATGGGTTGTTGGGGCAACTTATCATCCATGAACAAGCCATTCAGGAGAAATCATTCTGGGTGCAACAGGACATGATGACCCATTGTGGGTAGCAACCCATGATTGTCATGTCATGCACACCCTGTCACTCGATCTGGAATCCCACTGGAAGCAAGGAAAGAACTATTTTGGATCTATTACCTGCATACACTGGTTCCCACCAGCCTTAAATAAAATTGAATATGACTCCTATATAGTAATATCTGTGCAGAATTCTTGACTGCTTTGCTGATTTGGAAATGTGTTTGGTGTATACACTGTGTCATTGTGTTGTTTGTACGGGTTAGGATCCATTAACTTTACCAGCACTGTAATCAGATAGGAGTATAAAAGGTTAATTGAACAAGAGTGCACACACAGCTGATGAAATTTATAGCTCGAACAAGAAAGGTATTTTGGTTTCCTATAAATTCACCAACAAAATCAAGCAGCCTGATTACTCACACATGGCTTTGAGAACTAATTCAGAAAAAGTGGAGGAAAAAGGTAATTTATGCATTTTTCAGCTATATTGTTTAGCTTTTATTTTTATGTTATCAAGAGATGCTAAGGCTTACTTGGAAACTGGGCAATTATTTAATTATGTGATGCTAATTAATATCCTTTCAATATACCAGCTTAGGTAGACTGCACTTTTAAATTGAATGGATGGATTTATGCAGCCATTCAGTCAAAAATGTTTAGTAGAGTTTAGTCCATGTGGCCAGAATCAGTTGCCTTTCCAAATGGCTATCTTTCTGATATTTTGCCATTACTGACCTTAATGTTGCGTTCTTTTCTTGGTAATTCTCATATGCCACTGATGAAGATGGATAACAAAATGCCTACTATGCTATGGTTTCTATATGTTATATCTTGATATATGTATTATTGTAACATTTTATTTGTATTAATTTTGAGAAACTCCCCCCACCCCCCTTTGGCTTCTGTTGATTGTTCCTGATCAGCTGGAGGCCAAGGTCAGAGGTGCTGCTTCCTCACTTTTCCAGGATAAGGCAGATCTGGCTGTGGTAATGAAAGCCTTTGTTACATCACACTTTGGTTACTGAACAATACATAATATGTGGTACTGCCTTTTCGAAGCCTTCAGAAATGACAAGTGATGCAACTGTGTCAGCCAGAGAAATGCATGGAGCTTACTAACAGTCTGTTCAGCATCTGAGACTTGGCTCCATATTCCACCATCTTCAGATGTATGGCTGGGCTTCAGCACCTTGACCATGCAACTCCTAAGAGAGGTTTAGCTGATCCCTGCTCTCATGACCTTTGGGCAGGCTGTTAAGTGATTTTTGTTTCACCAAGCATTTAGCCTGTGCTGAACCTTGCCCCCTGTAAAGGGAGGGGGGGCAGTTCCCACTCCATGCATTCAATGAATCTTAATTTGTTGCAGGCATAAACCAAATGTAAGCACCGGGTAAAAACAGAAATTATAAAATTAACTGTTGCAACAAACAGAAACAGTGTAAAAATTAACAGGTGGTGAATGCCAGATCATGCAGTCCTCTGATACTGCTGTGACATGGTTTGTAGATGATTGACACAAGACAGCCTAGTTATGCACCATATTCTTGTGATTCACAAGCAATAGCAACAGTGTAGTTTTAGTGTGAGGTGTCAGGGAAAAGCCCTAGTTCTCCCTGTCATTGCTCTCTTAACATGTATTCTCTGCAGAAACAGCTGGCTGAACCTCCATGCACAAAACACTACTAACTGGGTCACAAACTGCACTCTGGGCAGGTTAAAGCACTTCAGCATTCAGCCTTCGGCACTGACAGAAGTGGCATGTTTTCAAATAAAATTGCCACCACACAATCAAACTACATGTGGGTGTCTGTCTCATACACAATATAGATCTGCCATTTTGAGTAAGCTTGCTATTCACCGCACAATTATTTTCTTTTCTTTCAACAAAGCACCTAGACTGCTTTGCCATCACTCCAGAAAAGAAATGAGACAAGGTACCTTCATGTGCTGCAGACACCATAGCTTTGTCATTTCTTGTTCCACCTGTGTGCCCGGTGTGAAGACTAATTCAATGCAACAAAGGGGCATGTGACGCCTTAAAGATTCATAAAATCAAGTGGGCCTCAGCAGCAAAATGTTGCAGTAAATCACCTGAGTCACATGCATTTTTTTAAAATAGTTTTTTTAACATTTAAAGATGTGACCATTCTGCACACAGCTGAGTACTTGCTTTGGCTTGAAGGGAGATCTAAGAGGCCAAATTAAACAGATTTTCCTTTACTGCAACCTGAAAGTTGTGAGGGATTCTTGACTGGGAACACAAACCAGATTTAGTCTACAATATTAACAGAGGAATGCACTGAAGGATGCTGTAAGGTACTTTTCCTCAGCATGATCATCAGAATTAAATAGGGGTATAACTGTCAGTGACTTTGTAGAGGTGTTGAATTCTATAGCATAGGATAATATGAGAGATTTAGACAAAGAATCCAGCATTGGCTAATATTATATTCCAATGTAGTGTCTGGTTCAGGAAGGTCTATGAAAATAGGCTCTTGACAGAGCAATAAAACTCAGCTGTGTACAGATAACTTTTCAGAGAATTCAGGGACACATTTAGTCTTAGAAGCAAAATGACTTGATTTTAGGAATTGTTTGTGGAATGGCCTAGCTAATTTGACACCTTCTATGAATTACATGTGTCTAAGACAGAGCATTGCTCCGCAGTGGGGTTTTATCCCCTTCTTGAACCATTAAATTTGTACAGTTATCAGGTGCCTGATATGGAATACCACTAATGACCCAATGCCAGCAGTGCAGAAGTTATTCCAATTGTTCTACAGAAAGGACTGCCATTACAAAGTCTGGAATTCTCCAACCTGTGGAAAATATACCAATCGGTGTAGCTATCTTGGCAGAAAGGAGCATTCTATGGCTGGGATATAGCACATAGTAAAAATACTGGTTGGATTTGGTAATAAAGGGTGCTTTTTGTGAATACTACATGCTAGAATCAATTGAACAGGCCATGAAAATAATGCCTCATGAATGTTGTTCTGCTAGCATTCCTAACTGCTGTCCCCTAAAATGAACAGCATTAATAGTAGCACACTTAACTGTGGTTATTTTGAAGGTTTATATCTATAGGTGGTATTATTCATTCTTTTTATTATTTTACTTGCTATTACTAATGTCCAAATGCACTAATTCTATAAAGGCATATCTTTCAATATCATTCAAACTATGAAATATTTTCTGCTGTTCTTACTAAGGTAACTGTGTAGGTATTTAACTATGCTTGGTGCTGTATAAATACAACAATCAAAAAGAACATTAACTCTCATTTATCTCTTCTTTCACTGTTCCTATCTATAATTAAAGGTAGAAAATCTCTCATAAACAAATATATGTCTTTGAAAAGCAGGTTTTATCACATCAGAAGAGATGTTAGTTGGCGGTATATAACTAGGAATAACAGGCCAAGTTTAACTGTAGAATGCACAGATGGATACACAAAATGGTGACAACAATGCCCCCACTGGTTTATGACAGATCATAAATGCAATTTTTTTGGAAGTGACAACTTCATAGTCCATTTGTTTATTTCAAGTTTTATTTCTTCTTCTTTGTGTTTATTATTCTCAGCAAATCAGGAGGCTGCATTCTTGGCTCTGTAATATACATTAAAATGGTCCCTGGAATGGCAACAACATCTACAGATTACGATGAAAAACATGTTATTTGAAATGTGTTGGAATAGCACGGCATGCTCTTTTACAACACATGGCTCATAACAGAATTAACCCTGATCTCTCTGCTTGCATTTTCAGGTCTGAGAAGTGAAAACTAGCACAGTGCCTTCACGATGCATTGATTAGAAGCAGGTCCTCTGCATTACAACTCCTAAGGACCACAGGAGAAGCTGTTCTGAATATTGCCCTTTTACAAAGTTCACTGAAGTCTTATTAATATACGAAGCTGCCTAACAGAGAGTCAGATGGTTCTATCCCTCTTTCAGGGCAAGTAATTGTTCTGAGGAGGTTACATGTAACTTATGAACAGTCTCTGTACATTAGTCACTTCTGGTTTAACTCAGGGCAAGTGCTTCTGGAATTTGCTTTTTGATGTACAAAGTAAGAATAAATGGTTTGGACCAAAAAAAAAAAACTGCCCGCCATTTAATTTCCAGACTTGTTGATTGTCCACAGACCAAATTCTACCCTACAAAATAAATTCAATGATAGCGGTCTTCTTTTCACAAGGACTGACATGGAGTACATTGTTAAATGCATTGACATTAGATGCGCAAACAGCAACATCTCACTACCAAAGAAAAGTGAAGGTGGAAAATACCTTTACCAAATATGAAAAGCAACTCTCTTCTCTGTTCTCATATACTTGCAGTTTACAAAAGTTTTCAGACACAAAATTTATATTTGCTAGCAGGAAATTTCTTTACTAAGCTTTGCAAAGTAGAGCCAAAGACCTTATCCCAAGGTCTTTGGAATAACAGAAAAAAAAGAGGTCAAAGGTGATATATTTTGGAGACCTATCAAGACATGCTGGAGGCAGCAGTGGGGATGTGGGGAGAACTGGGAGCAGCAATTAGCTGGGTGTGGATATAGGAGACACACTTTATCTTCCCTGCTTGAAATCCTCCCCTACTCCAAGCTGCTTTCCTAACCATATGAGAAAAGATACTGAGACTTTTGAAAAGGTATGAGGAAAAGCAGCCATGAGGATTTCATTTTATTCTTCACTGATAGCATTTACCATCCATTTTTCATTAGAAAAGAACCCAGCCAGAGAACAACAGCATTCAAACCCAGGAAAATCATATAAACATAAACCAATGAAACATTAGCACAAACAGTTTACAAGATACCTATATACTTAGTCTTGTGCTTTCAATTATTTTGCTGCTGCAAGCTTTGCACATGTACTGGGTACAGAAAACTGAGGACAAATCAGCTAGTTTAAAGTATTGAAGTTAGGTGGTCTGCACCTTGCCACAATAGATCATGGTCTACTGCGAGAGGGAGCGTGATATTCCCACAGCTCATGTGCTACTCCAGCCTGAGAGAATGTTTTCATTGAGGAAGAAGGAGCTCTTGTTACAGCTATTTGATCATGTCCCAAAGAATGCTCAGTGTCGTATCTTAACCCTTCCTTTTTTTGGCTCTCTCTTTTTTCCACTTTCTTCACTGTACATCTATCAGACAACTCTTTTGTCATTTTAAGTGTAGCAGAAACACAAGGAAAATCAGCAGGACTGTCAGCAAAAAAGAAAGTTATAAGGAACTGCCTTGCAGTGGAGTGTTCATGAATCTCCAAGTCCAAGAGACAAATGGACAGAGAAAGACAAACACTTGCAATATTTTGAAGAATTCCTCAAGGCAATAAGGGCTCTCAGAAGACAAACTGGGGTAAACAAGATGCTGTCATGACGTTAAACACATTACAACTGGGCTAATTATTTTCTTATTATTTTATACCAGCAAACTGCTTCCCAGTGAGATACCACCTGTATACAATTGGGAGGACATGTGGCTATGAATGCACTGTGTGCGCCCTATTAATTGTAGGGCACTGAAGTGTTTATGCAATCAACTCACAAAAGGTTGTTGAAGGAGGTCAGGAAACCCAGTACAGGGGTGATAGGCAAGTATCTACAGAGTTGTTCTGAGTTCAGTAACTGAATGCTAAACTAGACGCAAAAGTAATCACATGAAGAGCCTGTACATAAAGATAAATCACACGTTCTTCACAAAATGAGTGCTATGGGGACCCAATCCAGCTTGAGACTGGTGTCAAGACTGGTTTTGACCCCTTATTCCAGATTCTGTCCCTTCAGGTGTTACTTGACTTGAAAGTAAAACTCTTATTAGCATCAATCTCAGCTTTGATCCTAGAGCAAACAGCAGGGGGGGGGGATCCTGGGTTGGAGCTGCAGTAGTAGCAAAAGGTTAAAGCCCCTTTTGCCCTGCATGCTACAGTCCTGACCTGGAAAAAACAAAAACTTTCTAGAAAAACAAAAAACAAAACAAAACAAAAAGGAAACAAGAGCCAAGAATGAGATAAACATCATGTGCAGTTTGACACTTTCTTACAGGGGAAGGGCAATTGTTTACTACAAAATAGGAATTGCATCAGGAAGGCTAAAGCAGAAAATGAACTAAGAATAGCAAGGGATGCTAAGCACTACAAGAAAGTCTTCTTCGGATACATCCAGAACAAAAGACATGAGAAAGAGCAGGGTGTCCAGCTACTTAAAGTGGAAGGAAGAATGATAACAGATGATAAAGAAAAGGCAGAGGTGCTCAATTCCTTCTCCCACAAGGAAATCTGCAATCAAGAGGAAGTTCAAGTTGGAAGTGAGAGATGGCAGCCCAAGATTGACAGACAAATGGTCAAGGAATACCTAGGTGGAATAAAGACTTTCAAATCTTCAGGGCCCATTGAACTTCATCCCAGAGTCATGAAAGAGCTAGTGGAGGAACTCTCAGAACCACTGGCTATTATCTTCGATAAATCTTGGAAAACAGGAGGAGTGCCAGATGACTGGAGAAGGGCTAATGTCATCTCTATCTTCAAAAAGGGGAAAAAAGATGAACCTGGGAACTATAGACCAGTTAGTCTGATGTCAATCCCTGGAAAAATGCTGGAGCAAATTATTAAAAACTTCATCTGCAAGCATCTTGGAGAGAATGCAGTGATTAATAGCAGCCAGCATGAATTTATAAAAAAGAAATCATGTCAGACTAATTTAATCTCATTTTCTGACTGGGTAACCTCCCGAATGGACGAAGATTATGTGGACATAATCTACCTAGACTTTAACAAAGCTTTGGACATAGTGTCACATGGCATTTTGATAAGCAAATTAGCAAAAACTGGACTAGATGGAAAAACTATTAGGTGGATCCAAAATTGGCTGCTAAATCAGTTACAAAGAGTGCTCATCAATGGCACCTTCTTAGATTGGATGGAGGTAACTAGTGGGTGCCACAGGGTTCAGTCCTGGGCCCAGTGCTCTTCAACATCTTTATTAATGGTTTAGATGAGGAAGTACAAGGAAAGATAATCAAATTCACAGATGATACAAAACTGGGTGGAATAGCACACACCCTAGAAGACAGAATGAAGATCCAGGGAGATCTTGATTAACTTGAACACTGGGCTGAAACCAACAGAATGAAATTCAATAAAGACAAGTGCCAAGTCCTTCACCCAGGAAAAAGAAACCAAAGGCATCGACACAAGATAGGGAATACATGGCTCAACAGAACTGAACAAGAAAATGATGTTGGAGTATTTTTATTTATTTATTTAAAACGTTTATATGCTGTCACCACATGCCTTGGCATCTCGTGATGGCTCACAAATGTACAATTAAAAACAATAAAACAATACAAATTCCATAACATTATAGAAAAACAAAAACAAAACAGAACACAAAAAAGTGACTGTTAATGATAAAAGTATTAATTAAAATAACAATTAAATAAAAAGGTTTTAACCTGGAGTCGAAAAGAATATAAACTTGGCACCAGGAGTAATTGTGGACAATAGGCTAAACATGAGCCAACAATGTGATACAGCTGCCAAAAGGGCAAAATCTATTTTGGGATGCATTAACAGGATCACAAGTAATAGTAGTTCCTCCAGACTCCTCACTAGTCAGACCTCACCTGGAATACTGTGTCCAGTTCTGGGTACCAAGATTTAAGAAAGATGCAGGTAAATTAGAAAGGGTCCAGCAGAGGGCAACAAAAATAATCAAGGGTTTGGAAACACTACCCTATGAGGAAAGACTGAGAAAACTGGGAATGTTCAGCCTTGAGAAGACTGGGGCGGGGGGCATGATATCCCTCTATAAGTACCTCAAAGTCTGTCACAAAGAACAAGGTCAAGATCTCTTCTTGCTGATGCCAGAATGTAGGACACGGAATAATCCATTCAAGTTGCGGCAACCCAGATTCAGGCTGGACATCAGGAAAAGCTTCCTCACTGTCAGAGCAATTCAACAGTGAAACCAGTTGCCTAGAGATGTGGTGGGCTCTCCTACACTAGAAACATTCAAAAAGACACTGGACAGCCATCTGAGTGGGATGGTGTACATTGCTGTCCCACAACAGCAGGGGGTTGGACTTGATGGCCTTCATGGCCCCTTCCAACTCTTCTATTCTATGATTCTATGAAAACGTAGTAGATGCTATTTAGAACCAAATCTTATCCTCTTTGAATAGCCCTACCCTACAACTGTATTTGCATATTAGTCATGCTAGAGTAGGACAGAGAATTTAGATGTGGCATCTTGTATCATATTCTTTCTCTGTGTATAAAATACCATTTTCATATGTAAGAAAATATATTTGTAGAAAATAAAAATATTTTTAAAAGGAAGCAGCATATATAATTATCTAGAAATTCAACACATGGTAAGGACATGCTGTCTTTACTTGAAGCATCTCCTTCAATATAAAATGCCAGACTTTGTTAGCTATAATGGTATTGATATAACTCTGCTTTCAAAAAAGGATCTTTGTCTTTTATGCACACATGTCAGACTTACTTGGCAGCAGCATCTTTTCTCAGCTGTTCATGCTTCATTAGAAGATTTTTCCTATCTTGAAAAGTTTTTCTAACTTTATATCCTTTATAGACTGCCTGTATTTTAATGGCTGCAATGTCCTGAATGGCAGCTATGGACAACGCACTGTGCTCCAGCATGAACTGAATTACTTCATGGTGAGCTCCAAGCAAGGCATAATCAAGTGGAGTGTACCTAAAAATAACAAAACATTGGAAAAAATGAACCAATGACCAGAAGAGAAATTTTAATTCCTAAAATCAGTTTTCAAAATGGTGTAATGGTGCCCTTGCTCTGTTATATTTAGAATATACTATTAAATGTGCAACTGTGTTGAACAAGGCATTACTTGCACTTACAAGATGAAGAGTAGGAGAAAGCAGGCAGATAGAATGAGAGCCAGAGCCAAGGAATACTCATAAGTTCCTGTGGTCATTTCTCCTTTTTCCCTGCGGCAAGGAAGCACAAGGAGATGGAGCAAGAGCATGAGAAGCAGAGGCAACTGTTCTCTCCTTGCCAGACACATGGAACTAGGCAAGGACTGGAAAGATATTTCCAAAGGTCGCCACCTGTAGCAATAACTGGAACCAAGGGACATTCCATGCACAGAAACTTCAGTACATGTGCTCTATCATTAAGAGGGGAAAAAGTGAGCCTCTCCAAAGTAATATACTGCCCCATGCTGTATTTTATCACAGCCAAAATAAGAACTTCAGCCTCTCACAGTGCACAGACACCAACAACCATGGTGTACATCTAGAAGCCAAAATAGATATAATGGTACTGAACCTTAAATAATTGTTAGGGTATCGAGGACCATTAGATTTTTACCAGCCCCAATATTTTACAACTGGCTTACATGATTCACTTCCCAAAATATTCACAAATGAACATCATCATATTATTTTAAAACAGCAGGTTTAACCAAGATAAGAAGACAACTATATACTGATTTGCTTTATGCTGTAAAGTCTTGCTTGCATCATCAAACCTGGATTTATAAAAATAAATAAATCCAGAAATGCAAAGAGAAAAATTTCCAAGTTAAAAGAATCAACTTTATGCTGGGGCAATATATGCAAAAACTATTGACAAATCAATATATACCAGTCAAAATACAGTTTAAGCGAAGGATCAGATAGTTCAACAAATTGAAAAGTATTAGTTTTATAAAATCAAACAAGCAAACTTACATTCTATAAGAATGTCAGATAAATTGAAGATTTGAAACTTTGACAAGGAAAGGCTGGAACAGCAAGTACAGCTGTGATTTAAAGGCAGCATTCACACTGAAGGAGGTTACACCATAGCTAAAACTGCAGATAACAGATAATATGATGCTAATGGACACAGGAAGCAGCTTCTATTTAGCCAATCAGTAGCCAGAACATTCATGAAGAGCTACTCAATGAAGCTTTTTGAGTAGTGAGGAAGACATTCATAAGACTTCCCAACCAATCAAAAGGAACACAGTACACTGCGGAGTACATTGTGGCTAAAACTACTCATATCTGCTTCAATGTGCACTCTCAACTGAATGTAGCACTTACATGGGATGTGCCTGTAGTCATTCTTGCCACAACTACATGCATGAATTTCAGATGCTGCAGCCCAGGGAGGATGACGGGGTGTTTGGAGAGATGTAGCACAGCAACTATATGCTCGAACCTTTCCTGCCTGCACTGATAACATGCAGCTACGCGATGGGCAGGGTCCAAGAAGTGGTAGACACCCCACTGAGAGTGAGCAGTATTAGCCAGATTGAAAGTAGCATCTGGAGGATAACTTCTGGAAAAATCATTTCTAGATAATGTTATTCAGCTGCCAGTTAAATGGGCAATCTTTTGGGAAAGGTGCTCACATAAGTGGTACTGGTACTGGCCCTTCAGGGATCACAGCTTGTTTCCAAGCATAATTCAAAATTCACTTTAAACCTATAAAGGTGTATATGGCCTAGGATCAAATTATTTTCAAGACTACTTTCTTCCAGATGGACCTATCTTCATCTGAGATGCTTTCCTTTTTAAACCTGCCTTCTGGGGTTGGGATGTGTGCATCACTAGAGACAAAACATTCTCTGTGTGATAGCTTGCTTATAGAACTTTCTCTACTCATATTTTCCTAACACTGTTATTTGTGTCTTTTAGATGGCAAATTAAGTCTGCAATTAATTGATGGCAACTGATATCAAGCTGATATTACCTGCAGATGATTTCTGCTCCCTTCTAAACATTTTTGGTTATGTTATTTATAACTGTTGATATTTTATGTAGATGTAAACTAATTTTAAAGCCAGATTGAAGGCCAATGTAGTGGAAAGACAGGATAGAAATATTTTAAGTATTTTTTTGTTTTACTAAATTCTTTTACCCCATAAACCAGTGAACCTCATCTTTGCAACTTTATTCAGCACAGTATTAATGCTATCTCCACAATCTTCTAAACCAGGGTCCTCAAACTTTTTCGAAGGGGGTCAGTTGAAAGGCAGTGGCAGTGGGTCTGGGCATGGCAAGGTGAGGTGGCAAGCACGGGACTCGGCAGGCGCGGGACTGGCCGCCCCCTGGCTTGCATAATCAAAAGGCAGGCCAGATAAATGGGCATGGCAGGCCAGATCTGGCCCACGGGCCGTAGTATCTATGTTCTAAACCATCTAAATAGACTGCTGTACTGTCTGGATTGCGCCTCAATTAATTAGCCCATCCAACCCTTTATAGACTCTGAGCACCTCTCCATCCACAAACATTCCTGGATAAGATAAAAGGAGACTGCACCACAAAATCTCTCACTCTCTCTCTGTATACTTAATAATAAGCTATTTTCTGTACCCTTTAGAATCATTTTGTCAATATACAGGTAAAACCAATTAAACAAACTATAGCCTGTACCTAATCAATACATTCATACAAACATGGTACTGACCAGGCATGCCAGGCACAGATGCCTAGAGGCTAGAAGTTACTTGCCACAGTCAAAAGCAATTCATGTGATTCATCAGTTTGAACTGTTAATGTCAGTGCATGAGATGGTTAAATTGAAGTCTCTCTTGTTGGTAACCAGGAAGGATGCAATGCAGGAAAAGATAGAAGAAGAGAAACAAAACCCACCAAATTGGACTTGCCACATGGTGATTGGCTGTTAGGAAGATCAGAGTGTCTGAAACTGAAATGTCAATAGAAATGTAAGACAAAGAAGAAAGTGCAAAGTAATTTGAATGCCAAGATCCCAGATGTTTCAAAACAGCCCTTTCTGGAAAATACACTCTTTAAACATTTGCATTTACCTTTAAGTATTGCAGTTGACTAATAAAATTAATAGATTTTAAGATTCTAATCTAAGAAGTGACCATTTAAAGTTTCTCTCAGGGTAAGTCTTAACTGTATTTCTATCATTAAGCATATTAATGCTAGCTAAACAGTTTGCTTGAGAAGATATAACACTCATGACTGGATAGTTAAACCTTTTGTTGGCATGCTTTAATGTTAATTTTTGGATATTTATTTATTGCTTTATTCGAAAGCTCAGACACAGATATCAAGGAGCATCTGGACACATTACTGATTCATGCAAAACTAATGAATTCAAATAACTTTAAATAAAAACAGTAGCAATGGTTAACAAATGAGTTAAAATTTAAGGAATTCACTTCCTAAAAATAGGATTTCCAGAATGATTACAATGCAACACTCCTGTGTTTTTAATTGTTCAATAAAAGGAAGAATTGCAGCAGGTGTAATTTCTTATATCACAATGCCACATGGTAGTAAATGCCATAAATCAGTTCTGTTAACTACAAAGTCTTAAAATTAGTACCTCCTCCAAACATATGCCAAATTTTGTGCTCTTTTGTACCATGATTCCTAAGTTTTGTTCCACCAAAAGCATGAAAATGACATACAGTGGTGCCTCATACTTTGAACTTAATTTGTTTCAGGAGGCTGTTTGAACTCTGAATCGCTTGAAGTCTGAAGCAATTTTCCCATTAGAAATAATGGAAAGTGAATTAGTCCTTTCTCAGACCCTAAACAATACCCATTTTGGTAAACCTAAACAGCAAATACAGCCACCTAAAAGGAATTAAGTTCGAGGTTAAATGTGAGGTGAGACCAAAAAAAAATACAGTGAATGTTTAATAATTTTAAAAAATACAGTAAAACACACAATGCCATTAATCCCCCTCAAAATATTCCCTCTTGCTTTGAACACACTTACTGCTGTGCTCTCCTGCCTGTTTCAATGTCCTGAATTGATTCAGGTCAAGATGAATTGATTCAAGACAAATTGATTCAGGACATCAAGGCTTTTTTTTTTTTTATTTGGGTGCACAACTGATGACGTTTTCATTGCGACTGAATTTTTTTCACTTCACTCAGAGTTCAAAGTTAGATGCATCATTTGAACTGTGGAGCAATTTTATCTCATCTGTAATGTTCAAACTCTGAATTGTTTGAAGTTAGAGTCGATTAAACTATAAGCCACCACTATACTGTTAGTCAAATGCTAAAAATCCACATTCTCATACCTCTTCCAAACCTATGTTAACATTTTGTGCTATTTTCTGCCATAAAACTCAAGTTTTGTAAGGTGGGTTGTTGTTACCCACAAATGCTCGTGTTGATTTGTTAAAGTATGCAAACAAATGAAACAGTTATTATGGAAATCCACTAAACTCAGCAAGACTTAAGAGTAGAAGCACAAAACTTGGGATTGGTGGCACAACATGTTGACAAATGTTCGGAGGCGATATGAGAATGTGGAAATTTTCCAGCATTTGATGCATCAGTGCACAATTGTGAGTGGTGGCACAAAACTTGTGAACTAAGGTTATGTCACTGTCATGTTTTTGGTGGCGGCACAAAACTCAAGATTTGTGACACAAAACTGCATATAACTAGCATAAAGGTATGGTGTAGGTTTAGAGTTAATGTGGCAATGCTGTTGTTTATGTCTGTTAAGTAAGAACCCATATCACAACACAGGTGTGGGTGATGGCACTAAACTGACGGAAGATTCTGGCATATATTTGAAGGAAATACTAGTTCAGAGGGCTGGTAAATCTTCTATAACCACTGAAAGATAATCTACCAAGTTTATACCAAGAAACTGCACTAAGTACCTTCTTTAAAAACAAAGCTAACAACTCTATTAGTGCTGTTTCGGGTTGCTGAAACCTTAAAGTCTTGACTTCTTCAAGAAGACCAAATATCAACAACTAAAGCTGCACTCATGTAGAAAAAGTCTTAACTGCATCTGGTGCTGTGAATTCTATTAAAATGATTTTATTTAAGCAAAATAAACATATTAATGTCAAAAAGCAGCTTTTCTTTAGGAGTCTCTGTTCTTGATATAATCACATCAAGTATTTCTTTTGCATTTTAATGGTAATCACTGTAACCATCATTTTGGGGAACAGTATGTCTATGCACACCATTTCTGAGGAACTTGGGCAGAAGGGTACATTTGCATTCCTGTCCTCATTATGGGATCCAATAAGCAGCTTGGTAGGTCACCGTGTGAACAGAATGCTGGATCAGACTTGCTCTGCCCAAGCATGGCATTTCTTGCCAATGATAAAAACAACTAAACTCAAATTTGCAAGAGGAAGACTCTAGGTAGAACATCAGCCTGTGCAGTACGATTATTATTATAATACTGGATTAGGATCTCAGAGACTTGGGTCTGGTTGGTCAAACTTGGGTTGGTCAAACTTTTGGTCAGCTGTTACCTAACCTACACAGGATTGTAATGTGAATAAAATGGGGGGGGGGAATTATGCATAGTGTACTGAGTCTTAAGACTTGTTTATATAAAGGCCTGTATCTACTTAGTTTATGGCTGTTGAAAGCAGTTTGTGTGTTTATATTATAATTCTTAACTATTATGCTTTATTGGAAAGAGGCCACCTACTTGCTGATGCATCCAAATACAATGAAAAGTTAAGAAAATAGAAACCTGTGGTTAATAAATGACAAAATGGGCATTTGGACTGAATTCCCACACATAAAGAAAATTAAAGTTCCACCAACCCAAAACAGTTAACCTTCAGCACCATTGAATAACTCAGTTTTTTAAATGTAAAGAAAAGAAATGTAAAGAAAGCTGCCTTATGATGTGTCAGACACCTGGTCCACCTAGCCCAATATTGGTTACACTGACTGGAAGTAGCTCCCCAGGACTTCAGACAAGTGTCTTTACCACTTCTCCCTTCCTGGAGAAGACAGAAATTGAACCTGGGACCCTCTACATGCAAAGCATGCAGTCAAACACAAGGCAATTTCACCATGTGCTCAATATTGTCTGTAACAACTGAGTCAATTGCTATCGTTTGACATTTAATAAGAACTTGGGGGTTACCATCTAGACTTTAATCTGACCACTCAGATATTGATACAATCTGTTTGACTTGATATACAGAAGAATTGTACAAGTTGGAAGTCTATAAAATGAAACACGGACACTAGTTAAATAGACAGTTATCAGCCCTCTTTCTGCTTAAGCTTACTATGCCAGTAAAAGTTTTGCTTTTTGCATCCATTAATCATACCCCTGAGAAATATCTAAATTCTAGATATTATTGATAAGAGCAGTTCACTGTATGCTACTGTTATTTAGACAATATGCGAAATGCCTGGAAAGCATCACAGCAACAATGAATAATGAGATTAAAAAACAGACCTTAATTACATCAAATAGTACCTCACTTTGAAAATTAAGACACATTCAAGGAAGAATGTATTTCTTTCATTCAAATTAAAGAAATATTTGGGATATGAACTTAAAGGAATGTCTATGAATTAATGGTGCTCTTGTTCCTGTAATTCAGCATATCAAGGGACATATATTCTTTGTATGTTTGGAAAGAAAGAGCTGGCAAAAACTGAACTGCAACCTCCTTGCCAAATGGAAGTGCTAATGGAAGCATTTTTCTCTGGCAGCTCTCAGAATCCAAATAACAATGCTAATAGTAAAAAGTCTGTCATTCAAATAGAGATAGGCTTGTTGATTAAATCATATGAGTTTTAGTCAATTAATCAATTAAACCTGCATAAATTTGCATATGTGAACATCATTACAAAGGAAATCATTCATTGTTTTTAAATGATGTGTGTGTTACAGCAGACAGCATTTCAGAAAAAGCATTTCTCTTCTCTCCTACGTGGGATGGAATGTCTCTTAGTTACAATTGCACTTGCTATCTTCAGGTCTGAGAAGCAGTTGAATCACAAACAATAAACATTTACAAAATGTTGCCCTATCAATCAGGGCTCATTTTAATTTTTCTTTTTAATTGAATTTAAAAAAATATCCAATAAATTAAAGACTGCACTACTATTATCACCAAGCATTCTGCCACTTATGGGCAACAATGTGTGTGTGGACAACTTTCCTGGCACCTGCCCAACTTCTCACCACTAGTGATTTTTATTTTTAAATATTAAAAGCAAATTAACTAGGAAACTAGTATGCTGCAAAATAAAGTGCTACCATACAGCACCACCTTCATTTGGATTCAAAAGTGTGGCTTTGTCTTTAGCCTTCACCTCTAATTTTAACTGATTCTTAGCCTTCCAGATTAACCTTAGGAGAAATGAGTGTGTTGTGACTGGCTTTGCCTTCAGAGCAGTCACTTCCTGAGTAAATTTTCAGGAAGTATGCTTTCACTTTCTGTTCAGGTTACTTGCAGCTGTATGCTACATGGACTGTTCTGAATAGGCTTTACTTATTAAAGCTGTTGTCAGCTTTGCTCCTTTTCTGTCATTTTGTCCCTTGATGCTATATGAGTATTTCAATACTCATGTTGTAGATTGGGAGGGGGTCAGTGTTGAAAAGCTGGGAGAGAGAGGACTGCTGCTGAGTTCATAACCAAGTCAAAATTCATACTAGTAACTTCCTAAATTGTATTTCTGCAACAGCTAACTTAACTCATACTTAACAATCTGGGTAAAAGAAAGCCTCTAACAATAGTATAGATATTATTAATAAACTATACCTTTCTTCGTGGTTCTCCATATGATTGGGAAAGGCACCAAATCCCAGCAACAACTTTATAGCATCAAGGTAGCCATTGTTACATAACCAGTGTAATGCTGTCCTTCCCTATAATAATCATGGAAGACCAAAATTATCTAAGTTAATTACTGACATTCTGAAATTCCAGTGCTAATATGAAAAGGACCAGCATGCATATCATGCTATTTATAATATATAACACAGATACTGAAAAAAAAGAAAAAATAAGCTATTATCGCTTATGAATATATTTTAATAATTAGTTCAAGATTAATATATTTCTTATGAAGTGATAAAGGAAATTGTGGGAGAAACAGGCAGCTTAAAATGTTTTTAACCATCTTGAATCTAAAGTAATTTAAGATTTTACCCACATTATTCAAGCTGCACCAACCATATCCCCAGAATACTGGAAAGTGGAGAAAGAAAGATATGAAACCACCAGAGCTTTTCATACTAACTACAAATGATTATCACAAATCTGTGTGTACGCTGCAGCTATACAGAAAAAGCATCAAAGGTGATAGTCGGCAAAGGAATCTACTGGGAATGTCAACTTTTATTTTTAGAAAGTAGTCCCTAGACCTTCTAGGAACAAATACAGGGTTGCAATTTCAACACTTGCTGAAATTTCAGAAGTGAAACAGATAGCTGTGTAAGTCCTTCTGAGGTTTCTTGTTGTTGTTAGTTGCAAAGTCACGTCCGACCCATCACAAACCCATGGACAACATTCCTCCAGGCCTTCCTGTCCTCCACCATCCCCTGGAGTCCACTTAAGCTCACACCGACTGCTTCAGTGACTCCATCTAGCCAGTTCATTCTCTGCCATCCCCTTCTTCTTTTGCCATCAATTGTTCCCAGCATTAGGCTCTTTTCCAGTGAGTCCTTCCTTCTCATTAGGTGGCCAAAATATTTGAGTTTCATCTTCACTATCTGGCCTTCTAAAGAGTAGTCAGGGTTGATCTCCTTTAAGACTGACCGGTTTGATCTCCTTGCAGTCCAAGGGACTCTCATAAGTCTTCTCCAGCACCGCAATTCAAAGGCCTCACTTCTTTGGCGCTCAGCCTTCCATATGGTCCAGCTTTCACAGCCATACATTGCAACTGGGAAAACCATAGCCTTGACTATAGGCACTTTTGTTGGCAGGATGATGTCTCTGCTTTTTAGTATGCTGTCTAGATTTGCCAAAACTTTCCTCCCCAGGAGCGAGCATCTTTTAATTTCTTGGGTGGAGTCCGTCTGCAGTGATCTTGGAGTCCAGGAAAATAAAATCTGTCACTACCTTGCATATAATTCATTCTGTAATATTTGGTATTTGCATAATTCTGGATTTTGTAGTCCTTTACCTTTAGGACTACAAAAACCAGAATTATGCAAATACCAAATATTACAGAATGAGTTATGCACAAGTGGTTATTATCCTTTAACAGAAAATATTATGTTGTGATGCTCTCCATGACATATTATTAAGATGTTTTCTATCAGGTGGTACCCTTAAAATAAAATATATAAGTAATTAAGAACTTAATATAAATCTGCAATTGTATAAATGAAAATATTTACAAAAGATGTTGCTATTACATGCCATCAAGTTGTCTCTGACCCTATGAAAGCATTATCTCCAAAATGTCCTGTCCTTGATAACCCTGCTTAGCTCTTCAAAACTGTGGCTGTGGCTTTCTTTATGGAATCAAGGCATCATATAGGTAGCATTCCTTATTTTCTTCTGCCTTCAAATTTCCCTAGCACTACCATCTTCTCCAGTGAGGCATGACTTATCGCGATACGCCTGAAGTACCATTATCTCAATTTCATCATTTTCATTTTTAGGGAAAGTTCTGGGTTGATTTGAACTGAGACCCACTTGTTCATCTTATAAGTTCTGTTTACAGACTGAACAGCTAGGGAAATAAAATGCACCCTAGTCTAATGCTTTTGCCTGTAGGAAGCCATTTGGTTTTTCCATCCTGAGAAATACCCATTCTCTCAAGACCATCCATAAGTTTCAGGTGATTCATATAGTTAAAGGTTTTGTTGTACTCTATAAAGCATAGACTGATCTGAAATTCTTTGGTGTGCTCCAATAGCCAACATATACTTGAAATATGATCTTGAGTGCCTATTCCTTTTTGGAATCTGGCTTGAATGTCAGCTATTTCCTATTACATATGGGATAAAATTCTTTATTGCAACACCTTGAGCATCACTTTGCTTTTACGGGAAATTAATACAATGGTCCTAGAGTTGCTACACTCTAGCATCTGCTTTCTTGTGGATTGGAATGTATATAGAACATTTTCAGTCTTTGGCCCATTGTGTTGTTTTCTGTATTTGTTGGCACAGTCTTGTTAGGTTTTGGACCAATTCAGAGTCTGCAGCTTGGAACAGTTCTATTGTTCTTCCTTCTTCAAGTACTTTGTTCCTTTCAAGTGGTTTTAGAGCAGCTTTCACTTCATTTTAACATTGCAGATCCTTCACAGGATTCCTTTGAAGGAGTCTGTCATCTTTTCATTTCTTCTGTATAGTTCATCTGTATCTTGTTTTCATGTTATTTTAATTTTATCTTGGTCAGTTAGTAGATTCCTCAGTTTGTCTTTCAGCATTCCTAATCTAAATTTGAATTTCCCTTTGATTTCTTGGATTTTCTTTTTGTGTTTTTTTATAATAATTCCTTTTGGCTCATGATAGTTACTGAAACGTTGTGTTAAGTATTCAGATGCTACTTGTGTCACCGATTGTCTTTGTTTCTTGCCTGTTTGCACTGTTTTTTTTTGCGGGGGGTCATCCATGGGTAAGACATGACTTCACGACTAACAACACCACCAACAACTAATGTCTCTGGTTTCAGTCAACAGTTATTCCGGCTCATGGCCACTTGAGTTCAATAAAGTCAGGTTACTTACCTGTAACTGTTGTTCTTCGAGTGGTCATCTGTGCATAATGGGTACTGCGCCTGCGCAGTGCCTGTTGCCGGCCAGAATACCCAAGCTGCAACGGTTTTTGGTGGGAACTCCGCACCCCTCCCCCCTGGTGCTATACTAAGCAGAGCGCCCACCATTTTCCTCAGTCTCTGAAGACCACCAGATTGCCCCCTAGCAGAGCATGCCATCTAGTAGAGGAGGCAACAGAAAGAGACTACCATCCCGTCCCTCGACACCGAGTGGGGCTGGAGGGCGGATTGTGTGACTGCGCAGATAACCACTCGAAGAACGACAGTTACAGGTAAGTAACCTGACTTTCTTCATCATGGTCTCTGTGCATCACACATAATGGGAGATTAGTAAGCTTCACTCACCGGACGTGGGTCGGTGTTGTCAGTGAAGGATGGATGAAAGAACGGCCCGTCCAAAGGAGCAATCCTGTCTGGCCCAAACATCCAATCTGTAGTGTCTAGTAAAGGTACAGGCAGTTGTCCATGTAGTGACTTTACAAATGTCCAGCAGTGGGATGCCTGACGAGAAGGCCGAGGAGGCTGCCGTGGCCCTGGTAGAATGACCCCTGGGAGCAATGGGAAGCTCTATCTTGGCCAGTTGGTAAGCCAGTTCAATGGTTTGTACTATCCATTTCGATAGTCTTTGAGCAGAGAGAGGTGTGCCCTTATCAGGTTCAGAATATTTGACGAACAAACGTTTAGTTTTCCTGAAACTCTCTGTGCGTGACCGGTAGAAAGCTAGGCACCGTCGCACTTCAAGGGAATGAAGAGATTTCTCTATCGGGGTTGATGGGGATGGAAAAAATGCTGGAAGCACAATGTCCTGATTAACGTGAAATGCTGTGGCCACCTTGGGGAGAAACGCCAGATCTGTACGCAGAACTACCTTCTCCTTATGGAAGTTCAGGTATGGTGGGTCCACACGGAGTGCGGAAAGTTCGCTTGCCCTCCTCGCTGAGGTTATGGCAACCAAGAAGGCTACTTTCCAAGATAGCAATCTCAAATCTGTTGTTGCAAGGGGTTCGAAAGGAGCTTTGGTAAGTGCATGTAGAACTACAGATGTCAGTATCGATGGACAGATCAGAGCATGGAGATTTTGCACTCCCTTAAGGAAGCGTTGGATGAGCGCATGGGAAAACACGGATGAACCCAACAGAGGGCCGCGGAAATGTGACATAGCTGCAATGTAGACCTTGATAGAGTTGGGTTTGAGTCCAGACTGATGCAGAGAAAGCAAAAAGGAAAGGATGTTATCGATGGAAGCTGATTACAGAGTAAAATGGTTAGCTTCCGCAAATGTAGTGAAACGTTTCCACTTCATCTCATACGATCGATGAGTGGATGGTCGAAGGGCGGACTGCAAAATGAACTCAATTTTCTGTAGGGATGATGTAGGTTCAGAGGAGAGTCTAGTGAGGTCCCACAGAACCGACTGACACTCTGACGTCAAAACTGAGGTATTTTGCCGAAGTATGTGAGGGTAGGCAGAGGCAGTTAGTGCAGGAGCCATGCGGTGAACTTGAGAGTGTTGAGGTCAGGGTGAAGAATCGTCCCTCTCCCCTGTGTGATCAGGTGAGGGATTCATGGCAAACGGAAGAAGGTGGGTCTTGATAGCCTGAGAGTGGTCAAGAACCAGGGTTGATGGGGCCACCATGGTGTAATGAGGATGACCCGTGCTCGGTCCTGGCCAGCCTTCCCCAGGGTATGGGTGATCAACGGAATCGGTGGAAAGGCATACAGGAATGAATTCGACCAAATCACCATCAAGGCGTCCCCTAGTGAGTTCAGACCCATTCCCGCCCTGGAGCAGTAGGTCATGTATTTCAAATCTGAAGCTGTTGCAAACAGATCTAGTGTCGGGGTGCCCCACCAGGTGAACAAGTCTCTGCAAACTTGGTTGTCCAGTTCCCACTCGTGGGTTGACAACATCTTTCTGCTCAGGGTGTCTGCTTCTTGGTTGTGTATTGCTGCCAGATGGATTGGCGTGAGCGAAATCCCTCTGGGGATACACCAGTCCCAAATCTGAATGGATAGCTGAGCCAGCGGTACCGATTTTGTACCGCCCTGTTTATTCAGGTAAAAAACTGTAACTGTGTTGTCGGAGGCTACCTGTACCGATTGGTTCTGTAAAGTGGGTTCGAACAATCGGAGTGCC